CCGCGCCGCCCGCTAACCCATTCGTCATGGCAGGCACGAGCCTCGAGTACCGCTCTAAGGAGTAATTATAGCCCTTGTCGCTTTCTCGTGACGCGCGTGCCCGCCTTATGATACGTGTCGACGCCGTGTTCTTTGCAGTAAGTACGGCCCTCGTAAGTATGCTTGACTAGGCGTCTTGCAGTATGAAGAAGTAATATTTCGACATCAACTACGAGGAATAAAATATTACCGCGCATGCCCCGATTTTTTCTTCACGTAATAAGTATGCAATATCTTTTGGTCATCAGTTTTATAATATTTTTAAAAATAATAAGATATAGAACAATTGAATAGGAGTCCAAGTAAAATACTTTTGAAATCAGAAACATTTATTTACTCGCGATATTTCGTAAACACGCTGCTTATATACGTAAATGAAAATTAATAATAATAATAATAATAATAATAATAATAATAGTAATAATAATATAATGAATGATATCAAGCAAATTATGACCAATTCTCATTAGAAATTTCATTTATCTACACAGTTTGAAAAGAAATGTCCAGATGTTTCCGAAAATGACCTTCCGTAGTTTCCTTTTCACTATGATATAAGAGCTTGTAGATCTTGAAATATGATTCTGCTATCTAAGATTTCCATACAATCCCTCATCTGATAATGATATTTCGACGATCGTATTTCTTTTATTTAAAACTTACACCACCAATTTCTCATATTTTCACCAGTTACCTTCGTAACACAATTACTGTACATCAGCTTACTGTACATCATTACTTTACATCTTCTTACTACTTTTACACGGGACCTCTCTCCTGTCATAATCATATTTGACTACAGTACACTTGCGTTAAGTTCATTCGACTAGAGAGATAACGATATTACCTCGACAGCTAAGAAATATAATTATCTTTAACGGGGTTGTGACGCTCGGCCCCATCTAGCCCACCGCAGTTGCCAAGCACTGGAACGACAGGCTCCATATATTCCACAACACAAATCTGGCAAAGGCATTGATGTTTCCATTTGTACACGGCAACGTCTAACCGCTATGTGCGACCACGTCCATTAGTCGCCTGTTCCATTAATCATCGATCTTCCACGAACGTCGAACGCCAGGCAGATATTCGCGAGAGAGGAGACTAAAAATACTGGCGAATGATCGGTGGCTTTGAACTGCACCACAGCACTTGAACAGGTGGACCAGTGAAAAGGATAGTAATCTCCATCTATAGGAAACACCGAATCGCAGAATCATCCGAAAATAGCTGAATCATGACTTTCGAAACGTAAAATGTTTTAATGATGGAAAACATGGTACGTTATGTGTGCTTAGAGGTAACCTATAATGTGCTTCAATTTTAGTTTCAATCGGAACAGAAATTTTATTTGCTCTATTATGTAACTTTAAAGTTTATCTCGTCACTTTACGATAACTAAAAATTTTCATTTCAGGTTACATTATTGAATAGTAATAAATGTTGGAAGAAATAAATCTTTTCATGCAATTTTCATTGCAGAGATAAAAAAGAACATTAATTCTTGTTCAATTCAAGTACTTATTCATATAACGTATTGGGGAAGCTCGCAAAGAAAAATATGAACTGTTTTTCAAGGCAACTGTGCAAAGAACAAAATTTGAACGAATCATTTAACCTCTAACTAGCACAAGAATAGTAGGTAGTGGTGTGTGCACATTCTATTCAGTTAAGATTAAGAATATGTAATCAAGGTGTGTAAGTTTTCATGTAGTGACATGATAAAAAATATTGTAGTTTTTTCGTTAGATACATACTTTCTTTTAAATTACTTGTACGTAACAATAAATGTTATTTTTGAGCCAGATTTGAAAATAAAGATAATCATCACTAGGAAACAAAATTTATTGCAATGGAAAAGAAAAATATGTTCATCAATATGTTTTTAATTTTTTCAAAAATACCGTTTATTGGGGATACTGTGACTGGAGAAATTACTTTGTGAAAGACGGTGAATCATTCGTTTTCGAATCTCGCGTCGCATTCACGAGGCCATGAATGCAAACTAACAGCGATACGGCTTGCCTGGAAATCCCACGCCACCAATGGACAGTTGACAGAAGCTGTTGTTCAGACTTTGTGTATGGCAGAGGTGGGCTTGTTAAAACGTGCGCTGTTCAGGCAAACTTCGACAACTTTATCTGCTAGAGGGAAGACACTTATACAATCATATTTTAGAAGTAAATATTTTTAATTGTTAATGCGTTGGCTTTAATGAGGAGAAAATTTAGCTTTATGTAACAACGTTTTCGTGAGGAGATGTGAACACAACATGAGGACGACCTAAACCTCCTGCAAGGCTTCTAAGACCATCCGCAAGAAGTGATGACATGATAGAGTAATTTTCTGACATTTAAACTAAATGTCTGTAATTTGTGAATATTGTAATGCTTCAAATATTCACTGTTTAGAAAAGGATCCCATATATACAAGTCTTTTGACCTTCAAGTAAAAATTGACTTACCAATGTGAAACAAAATGCAGGATGGGAGAGCAGATGAAAAGATAGAAGTCAACAAAAATGAATTATCTCTTTCCTACGATAGCATGAACTTGCCTTTCCTACGACAGCATGAACTCGTCGACGAGCATTGAATGGCTCAGAGGCAAGGACTGTCATTGCTCTGAGGAGGCCTGCGACATGATAGGCGAAACGTCGGCCTCAGCCAACGACGCGGCGTCACCTGAACAGCCAAGAAGTCATGAACTCGAACCTTGGACGCCTACGTGTGCGGCTCAGAGGCAAATATTGTTTCATCTGCATTGAGACTCCCACATATCAGCAACAACTCTTATAATCCCAGGTACTTTGCAACAGGACTATTTTTTGGTGGTCAGCTTGAAGGCCACGCTTTCCCCTGAAAAAGTGACCGACACCAAACCCAACAGATTCATAGCGTAATGGAATCCACAAATACGCTTTCGAGATAGCCAGCTCACCCCGTTTCCTCCAAGACTGAGGTCTTGTATGCCATGGACCCAGGGCCAGCCAGGATTGCCAGATTGGGCGGAATTCCGATTTTGGGGCTGGAAAACGGCTCTCTCTCTCTCTCGCGTGACAAGAATTGACTTCGCGGAATACCACCATAATGTGCGGAAATACATCAAAACATGTGCGGTTTTTGGCGGGTTCTCAGATTTGACGAAATTTTCAAAAACAAACAAACAAACGAAACAACGTTGAAAATAAGTCTGTTTTTTTTAGTTTTTTTCCTTTATACGCGTTTTTCCACTAATAATTTATTAATTCGTTCAAATTTTCTTCGAGAAGTGAGTAATGTTAGTTTTTATACCTTTAGTATAGGGTGGGTTCTAAATGTCATAGCGTCTTTGTTGTGCCCAACATGAGGATATAATATGACACTTGCAGTTAATTTTACAACACATTATTTAAAATTAGTCGTGTTTTGGAAGTATGGTGTCACTGCCAGCATATTGTTGTACTTTTTGGGCGTTTTACCAAGTAGGTACATTTGAACCCCGGAATGAACACATTTGAACACCAGAAACACAGGCCTTGGAAGAGGCTAGCGACGAAAAATCTTGTGAAAGTTGTCGTTACTTGCGGAGGTGAACCTTACCAATTAATTTTGCGTTTAACTTCAGTTAAAATCATCCAAAAACCATTTCAATATGATATGGCAATGTGATAAATAAAATGATCTCATTTGAAAAAAATTATTTTATCCTTTTATTTTCTCCTCCCATCTGCTG